AAAAGAGAAAGAAAAAGAACCTGAGGCTTGAGACTGCCGCGGCTACCCGATGAACGGAGCGGCAGGGGGGACCTTCAGTGTGTGCGAGCTGGGTTGAGGTCCGATGGCGATACCGCCTGTACTCGCCCTAGACTGCCGTTCGAGGCACGCTAGGGCGACGTCGAGAGGATGGCGATACCGCCTGCACTCGCCGTAGACCGCCGGTTGAGGCGAACTAAGGCGACGTCGAGAGAGAGAAAGAAAAAGAAAAGAGAAGAGACGATGAGTGCAGCAGATGGGATTAGCCGATGCCAGCGAAGCGAGTAAATACAGGCAATTCAAACTCCGACAAGCTCCGACTCGAGATAAGATAAGATAATCAACAACTGAAGGCTGCGAAATTTATTCTACGTTTAAAATACTCCCTAGCAGGAAAATGTGTGTTACAGATTTGCTGATGCAAGGGGGCAGCAAAAATATAATAAAAAACCAGGGGTAGGGGAGAGGGGGGTCCCAAGGGTCCTTGTTCGTCACCCGACCGGACTTCTCCGGGAAGCCTGTTCTTCGGTCATGAACGGATTTGTAGCAAGTAGGAACACATCTGTCGTACTTTTGCTTATTCCGAATGACACCTGGGATTTACAGGTGCAAATTACCTGCACTGTGATCTTCCGAAGAATACTTGGACGTCTTTGGCTGTGCTTGGAGACCGCGATACTACCTATTTGATCGTGGAGACGGGACAGAGTCTTTCCACATCTGACAGTGCCACGTGAGCTCGTAACTGGCTGGACCTGCTTGATTTTGTTCCCCTATTCATTCCTTCTATGTATATAGCCTCAATAATCTATTTGTCTTGTGTCTATTAGTCCGGTTGTCTAGACCGAATACTGAAGTGAGGCTCAATTCTCTCGTTCTCACTCCGAAATGCGAGCACTCGTCACTATCGCTCCCAGCTGCTGCCTCACTATCCAAGCTCGAACACTCTCATGCCGAGCAACAATGGAAAAAAGAAGAAGATGGTATGTATTCACTTACATTAGTGGCTATCTTAAGGCGTCTATCTGATCTTTGCCTTCCTAACGCTGACCCGGAGCAGGATGACGGAGGCGAGACGTTCACGGTCAACAGCAAACGCTGGTGCGACTCATGCAAGGAGGATATCAACATAGGTTTCAGCGGCGAGAAGAACTGGAACCAACATACCCAAAGCAAGGAGCATAAATCGAAGATTCCCACCACTTCGAGCCGTGGGATGCTGAAGTCTTTTTTCAAGTGCCTGTCTCCCAAACCGACCCAATAAGCTCCCACGGCGGGTTCATCAACGACGAGCCGCCACGATCAACACACAACGACTCCTCATGCAGTCCATGTCTCACCGTCATCATCACTTTGTCCTCACTCTCCCTCGCCTTCTCCAACCACGAGCGCTCAAACTCACCACGTAGCACATCATCATCCCTGTAACGTGTCGCCACCATCGTCACCTCGTCCGCACTCACCTCATCCACCACACACCCCTTCCCGACATGCATCCCCGGTGACCGCGCCCAGCGAACAGATCACGGAGCTGGTAAACGTGTCAGCTCGATCTTTTTCATCCCCTTCGGCATAGACATCTGGCGCGGTCGCTCACATCGCTGGCACCGACTCGGATCCTATTGACGTCGATACCATTCACAATCAGCCGGAAGACTCACCTGCGATTACCGCTCGAGCAGATCTTCTTACAGAGCTTCAGGCAGCATGTTCTTAGCTGCCACCCGACGTCCCGGTCGCAACGAGTGCGGACACGTTTGCTACGATCTCAGGAGACCGAACTGTAGGCGTGTTAGACGCAGAAAAGGTTTGGGAGGAGCGGTGGAATCAGGAGTTGGACCGTGTGGTTGGTTATGGGGCATCTGTAGCAGACGTGGTGCGTCTCATTCGTCGGGGAAAACTGGGCCTGGAAGGGTTCTGTGTGTGGGTTGAGGCGTTGGAACGTATTGGATTGGACACAGCCAGACTTTAACCTCGACTTCAGCATGTCTTAGACGTGGTCGATCTCTTGTGGGTGTTTATGTCGCTCCTTTTTCTCCGTTTCTAACTAACGGCATATGTTGAAGGTTCAAGGACCGCGGTCTCCGGCGTGTTAATGCAACTGACATGTTGAACCATCCTCCTCCCCACTCGAAAGCCTCCGTACCTTCCCGCTCCGTACCTCCGGCTACATCCTCTGCCCCCTCCACTTCGACCAGTCGACGCAACCGACGACCAGTTCTCCACGAATGCTTCGGATATCAGCTCACCCTCCCAGCGGTGAATCACCAATACCCGTCTACCCGTTTGGCCTTCACGATGTCCGTGCTCTCCCATGGAGCATAGCTATTCTGAATCCTGGCTCAAAGTTATACCTCCTCTCGGACTCATGCGCTTTTGAAACCGTCCGTTTTGCCTGTGCATCCTGCGAGCAACTCCACAACCACTCAATCATCATGGCAATTCACCATCGTGCCGCGAATGGTGCTCATGAGAACACTCCTTGGGCCTACTTGGGCATCGGTCATCGTGATGATCTTCTGCGCCATCACATCAAGCAGAAGGACACCCTACGTCTGGACGGTCTCAATCACGGTCGTCTCATCATAACCCGTACTCGCCACTTGGACGCTCATCGGCGCCTGGTGATATCGATCATCAATAACGACATCCCTCGCATTCGAGCGGCCCTTGCTGTTATAGAACGAAACGGCGGGGGAGTATATGCATTCATTCAAGCCATTGATGCGGCTGCGATGCGGGCGTACAGCCCGAAGTGTTACCTACAGATGGAATATTAGCGTGCGTTCTTGATCTGGAAGCTTGGTGGGGTTTTTGCTGCCAACCTCGCCCATCGTACATTGGGCCTTCCTTCCATCGACACTACTCGCCGCCACATAACCTCTGAGCCAATTCACGCATTGCCCGCTTTTCCTACGGTCGCCAGAGGAACCCTCGAGTGTGAAAGCTTTTTCTAGGGTCCATTCACGTCCCACTTCGCCCACAACGAACGGACCGAACCGTTGTGACTCCCGCAGCCCAAAGCCTGTCACAGGTCCAGCTGCAGGTGTGACAAGGGGAACCTGATACATCCATAGCTCCTCTACTAAGCCTTGTTCTGACAGCGACACAGGTCTGCACGAAGACTGGGGCGGCTTGACCGTCAGAACTAATGTATAATGTAAGTAGAGAGTAGCAGAGACAGTCGAGTGAGCCCCGAGGTGAAAAGGATGCGCGGCCACACATTATGTAAACAAGTAAGTACGAGTAATGAATGGGTGGCGCGTCAAGAAATGCAACGTTAACAGCCCCCCGTGACAAGACAGCTCCATGAGTTATAAAGTGAGGCCAAAGATGGGAAGTAAGTGGGCAAGAGTATCACGATTGAGTGCTTTGGTGAGAGCATCTGCAGGCATATCACGTGTGGAGACATAATGAACAGAAATGGTACCTTTTGCGACCTCATCACGAAGCCAGTAGTATCGTAAGTCTAAATGCTTCATGCGTCCGTGATGTTCAGAATTCTTGGCAACAGAAAGGGCAGACTGGTTATCAATCCCAAGTGGAATAGGATGATTGAAAGTGAAACCGAAAGAAGTGAAAAGATTGCAAAGAAATAAGATCTCTTGACCCGCTGTAACTGCAGAAATATACTCTGCCTCAGTCGTAGAGAGTGCTACGATCGTATGAAGGCGGCTACCCCAACTGATTGTACCAGTTCACATCCTGACTATAAATCCACTAGTGGATCGACCATTGTCCATGTCTCCACCATGATCAGCATCACAGAATGTGGTGAGGAGTGGTGAGTCTGGTGATTGTGAAGGGTCTGGTGCAAAGGTGAGCTTGTAATCCAAGGTAGCTTTGAGGTAGCGGAAGAGGTGTTTCAGGGCCTTCCAATGCTCAACTCCAGGATTCTTGCTGTACAGAGCAAGAACACCGACCGCATGCTGGATGTCAGGGCGAGAAACAGTGGCCAAATATTGTGCAGCTCCTACACCCTCACGATAGGGTTTATCTCGCATCTCCTCATATTCTTTGGCAGTTCGGGGAGACATGGCAGCAGTAAGACGGTACCAGGATTCATGGGTGTAGAGACAGTATCGCAGTCTGACATACCAAAGCGATCTAGGATGTCAAGAGTATATTGGCGTTGGGAGAGTGAGAGTGAGCAGTTAGGGTGATCACGAGTGATTTCGACACCGAGAAGCCAAGAGACTGGACCAAGATCGCGGTATTTGAAGTGAAGGCAAAGGTCGTCCTTTACTTTCCGGATTGCAGGTTTGGACTTGGAAACAATGGTTATGTCGTTGATGTAGACAGGGATGATGATGTGGACATCTTCTCAAGAGTAGACCCAGACACTGTGTTCACAGTCAATCCGATGGAAGTCAATGGACTCCAAGACCTGATTCAGCTTGACATGCCAAGTTCGGCCAGCTTGCTTCAGTCCATATATGGACTTACACAGCCGCCAAACCCATTCCTTTCCCTTCTCCATGAAACCCTCTGGTTGGTCCATAAATATCGTCTCCTTTGGTTCGCCGTTGAGGAATGCAGAGGATGTGTTGATGCTCTCAGCTTCAAGGTCGTCTAGAGCACAGAGACAGGGGATAGTACGGAGAGTCGACCAGCGAGGCTTAGGACAGAAGGTACCACTGATGTCGTAGTCTTGACCCGGACATTGTGCATAACCCTTTGCAACGACACGAGCCTTGAAGCGTTTGATCGATCCATCGGAGTTATGCTTGATTTTGAAGACCCAGCGTGACCCAATAGACTTCTCACCGGGAGGTAGCCTGACAAGTTCGAAGGTTTCATTCTTGAGAAGTGCATCGAGCTCCTTGGTTGCTGCATCGAACCATTATTGTGCTTCATCTGCACCACAAGCCATAGCCTCCCTGTACGTGCCTGGCTCTGCTCCACTCCGACCTAAGACGACATGGGCAAACTCCAGGGCCTGAGTGTGGGAGAGATGATCTGCACCAGGGTAAAGATGACAGAGTGCTGAGGAGACTGATTCAGGCGAGAGTGCGGTGAGGACTTGGTGACCAGTTTCATCGTCTCCAGGCCGTCCAATAGCTTCATCGGTAAGAGGTTGGTGAGGATTTTCTGCAGCAGGAGGATGTGGAAGACCGTTAAGTAAGTACGAGTAACGAATGGGTGGCGCGTCAAGAAATGCAACGTTAACAGTTCCTCGACTAATTTGATACAATTTGCATAGTTTCTTCATGAAGCTGTTCTTAGAAGATGGGGTGTCTCTTTGGATGGTATTCCGGACGGAGGTAGAGGTGTATGTTTGGTTGAATATGATTCATCGTCAGTTGGGTTTGTCAAACCGGAACCCGGTATTGATACACTGGTTCCGGTATAGAGACCTGTAGCCCAAGACCGTTTAGATCACCCTGTCGATTTTGTTTTACGTTTAGTGTTGTCTTTTGTTTGTTTATTTATTTTCTTGTGCTGTTATGATATATCTTGCCTAAAAAACATACAAAAACATTGGACACAAATCTCGCTTTTTGTTGGCCGCAATACTTTTCAGTCTAGCTCTCTTTCATCTTGTTTCCTTTGTTTGTCCACTCATGCTTTGTTTAGCTATTTACATACTGTTCTGTCAATGTCATGCTGGCTCACTCAGATCCTTACTTTGCGAGTTCCATTCTGGTTGACAAGGAGCTGTGGTGACGTGTTTTGCAAGTTTTGGAGAGTGTTCAGCGAGCGCTCAATTGTATAAATATAATTCATCCATAAGCTGCCAGTACAGGAGAGTACACAGGGACAAGAAGCAGGAGAAGCCCAGATGCGAGTATGCTCGACTCTCAATCAGAGGCTGCTTCACCAAACCTAATAAAATCCAGGAAACAGTCAGAGATCTGAACATAGGCAGTGTCCCTGACAGTAGTGCCAGATCTTCCTATGCATACCGATATTGCTCTCGGCGCAGATCTTAAGACTACAGCTTTTGATACTTGTTCCTCTGAATGAACAGTGGTATCATCTCTAATTGATATCACGCCCAGTCAGTATTGTACACCGACGAAAAAAATGGTGGCACACTACAGTATACTCACGGTTCTTTAATAGTAGAGTGCTTATTATATCTGACTAAGTTCATGTTCAAGACTGTATGCTTAAGCATTATATCATCACATGTAGAGTACAGCTGGTATTCAAGAGAATGTCTTGGAAAATGTTTAAATTTAGGTGCCACAAAAGGGGTGCCACAGTTTGAACCACTAACAAAAAATGTTTGATAAAGAAATCATGGACAACACGAAGTGCCAAAAATCAGTACAGAATGTTACCACCCTTGGCCTTTAGAAGAGCATAAATGTGAGTCAGAAGTGATGAATAGAGTTTCTGAATATATCCAATATCAATCTGGTGCCACTCCTCCTGCAAAACCCTCCATAACTCTTCCTTGTTGCACGGGCGACCACATTCACGGAGTCGAGCTTTGAGGTGGCTCCAGACATTCTCGATGATGTTGACATCAGCACTGAAGGCTGGCCAGATGAGCGTACAAAGGCCAACCTTGTCGAACCAGGTATGAATATGTCGGGATTTGTGTTTCAGATCGTTGTCTTGCTCGACAACAAATGCATCTAAATCCACCCCAAAATCCCGAGCAGTTCCCAGTAATCCCTCCTCTAATATACTCTGGTACTGGGCAGAGTCCATGATTCCCTCAACTCATATGAGCTGTCCAACCCCAAATGGCGTGACTAACCCCCACACCATGATACAACCACCCCCGTGCTTCACCTTCTTCTTCGTGTACCTTGGGTCCAAAGCTTTCCCTTGCCTTCTCCAGGCCCATCTCCCCCCATCCGACCCAAAAAGATTGAACCTAGCCTCGTCTAAGTACCACACCTGCTTCCAGTCCTTCTCCGACCAATCCGCCACACTCTCCCGAGCCCAAATCCTACGTTTCTTCATGTGATCCTTCGAAATGAATGGGACAGATTGGTGTGTGTAGGCTCTGAGGCCCTTGGAGTAAAGTGCTTGAAACATTGCTCACGGAGGGCTGTAGCAATGTCGACCTGACCAGATTCGACTTTGCGGGCACCAAACTTCCGATCATGACGTGTCAGTTTGCATTTGTGGCCTAAGCTGTGACCAATATTATAAAGTCGCGGTTGATGACATACTTGCGGTATTAGGGAATGACACAGGTCTGGGTGACCCGGCCAGGTACTTTACCCTGACCTGGCTGGGTCAGGTACGGGTCATGAGTCTGAGACCTGCAGCTGACCCAGACCCGTGTCCCAGGTACCCGTGGGTCAGCTAGGTCATTCCGGCAGTTTCCGGATAGCTGTGCGCTTCCTGCCAGCTCACTCATTCTCATTCTCTCCCTTCTCTCTCTTCTCTCCTACAGTCTCAGGCCCCGAGTGTGCGGCAGGGCTGGTGGTGCTTGACACATTTGTGTCCCTACTAGCCCTCATTGCAGCTCTATTCTATCCAAGATAGCCATGTATTCTCAAGTCCGGAAGAAAGTCAGGGCCCTCACCTTCACCCAAACAGTAATCAAGCTGTACAATTTTTTCCCACCGTAGCATTACCTCTATATCAGTGTTTTCTGGGGTTTTCGAACCCTCCAAACATGCTCCCATTGTCCGTTTATCAATACATGTCTGTGTTCTTCTGGTGCATCCCATTCACTTCCTCATCCTATCTCAAACACTAATTGGGCCGTACGCCTTTTTCCCACCGTAGCATTTCTCATATTTCAGTGTTTCCTGGGGTTTTCGAACCCTCCGAACAAGCTCCCATTGTCCGTTTGCCGATATGTGTCCGTGTTTGTCTGGTGTGTCCCATCTACTCCCTTATCCTCACTCAAACACTAATTGGGCCATACGTCTTTTTCCCGCTGTAGCATTTCTCTGATCTTAATGTTTTCTAGGGCCTTCGAACTGTCTAAACAAGCTCCCATTGTCCATTTGATGATGCGTGCCCTCATTCAACAGGTGCGTCCCACTCTCCTCCAGCACATCCACACAATCGTCCAGTGACAAGTCTTCAATCGCTCTTGCAGTCTTCACTCATAGTAGGAAGTATGACAGTTGTATATTGACCATCAAAAGGTTTACATACAGACGTTGCTTCCATTTACATTCCTTCTTTCTGTGCCTGGGCTACGTACTCCTTCTTTCTGTTGAGCAGTGTATGGTTAACGTAGTGAAACCACTGGCAGTAATTACCTGGAGTAAGACTTGAGTTAGGTTGCTGATAGCACGCAGTGGTTAGAGAGGCGAGAAAGTGTTAGAATTACAGAGCGGAGCCCAGGAGGTTTATATACATGCAGAGTGTACAGCCTTAGTAAAACTATACAGCCATACACATGGGAGCAAAATAACAATAAGAAAAGATAAGTATTGTGTCATATGAGAACATGCCGGACCGGCGGACATAGCCACCATTCAACACTTTCCCATGATTTCCAGCTGTTGTGATCACCCACAGATGTAGATGTAAGACCTTTATAAAGGTACCTGCTAGCAAGGGGATTCTTTACAATGGTTCCTCTGGCCCAAGAATTATAAATGCCAGTACTGGGCTGGCTACTGGGGCGGCCGGGGGGTGATTCTGGGTGGCCGAGTGGACCAGGATGATGGGGTAGGGCATACGGGGGTGATCCTTGGGGTAGGGCATACGGGGGTGGTCCTGGGGGTAGGGATGGGGTAGGGAATGGAGTAGGTATACTGGAGAATGGGTACAGCGGGTAGATAGAGTGTATATGTTGAAACGGGCTGGGTTATTCATGGATAAAATAGGGAATATGGGCAGGGATGATCACAGGGTGAATAGGGACAGAATGGTGGCTGATAAAAACACAGAAAAATAGTAGGGTAGGGGTACTGGATACCTTGAGATAGATCGGTAGGGGAAATGAGGTGATCTGGGGGTATTTTGGTAACTTTGTGAGTTTTGTGAATTAGAACAAACAGATTGCATTGCCAAGTGTCATTTTGATGGAATTGACATATAAAAATGTGAATTGTGGCCTGATTTTGGCAACATAGAAGGAGGCCAATTTTGGAGGT